GGAATGTGCAAAGCTCCGTAAACCTCTCTATATATATAAATATATACTGTATAATATAAATATATATATAAAAAATATATATACACTGTTTAATGTATAGATAGATGTTTTATGTTTTATTTATTTATATACAGTATCTCACAGAAGTGAGTCCACCCATCACCTTTGTAAATATTTGATTCTATCTTTCCATGTGACAACACTGAATAAATGACACTTTGCTACAATGTGACGTAGTCAGTGTATAGCTTGTATAACATGTAAATTTGCTGTCCCCTCAAAATAACTCAACACACCGCCATTAATGTCTAAACCGCTGGCAACAAAAGTGAGTCCACCCCTAAGTGAAAATGTTCAAAATGGGCCCAATTAGCCATTTTCCCTCCCCGGTGTCATGTGATTGGTTAATTTTACAAGGTCTCAGGTGTGAATGGGGAGCGGGAGTGTTAAATTTGGTTTTCTTTTTTTTTCAGATCCTCAGAGAGTTCTTTGCCATGAGGTGGCATGTTGAACTTCCAGCGACCAGTATGAGAGTGAGAGCGATAACACCAAATTTAACACTCCTGCTCCCCATTCACACCTGAGACCTTGTAAAATTAACAAATCACATGACAACGGGGAGGGAAAATGGCTAATTGGGCCCAATTGGAACATTTTCACTTACGGGTGGACTCACTTTTGTTGCCAGCGGTTTAGACATTAATGGCGGTGTGTTGAGTTATTTTGAGGGGACAGCAAATTTATACTGTTATACAAGCTGTACACCCACTATGTCACATTGTAGAAAAGTGTAATTTCTTCAGTGTTGTCACATGAAAAGATATAATAAAATATTTACAAAAATGTGAGGGGTGTGCTCACTTCTGTGAGATACTGTGTGTGTATATATATGTATGTATATATATATATATATATATATATATATATAGTTTAATATATATCCACATGCTTATTGACTAGGATAATGAGGAATGTGCAAAGTTCCGTAAACCTATAATATATATATATATATTATATACACAGTATATAAATAAATAAAAAATGGATATACCTATAGTGATGTTTTTGTGTGAATTCAGCAGTCTGCTCTCAGTGAAAAAATGCATTTGAAAATAATGAAATAAAAATTGCACAGACAGTGATCTAAACAGGGAGAATCAGACAGCGCGCCCACAAACGGCCTTTAATAGATTCTATAAATACTGCCAATGCCAAAAAAAATGTCTGCTACTGGCGAAGGGCTGGTCATGCCAAACTGCTGCATAAATAGAACGGGGGAGCTGTGCCAGGCTACTGCCAGCAGTGTGCCAGGCAATCCACATCCAGAATGCCTTGTATTTGCAGGACTGTGCTCTGAGATATGAGCAGGCCAATGTAAGTGGAACATTGTATTAAAGAGAACCTGTTACCAATTTAAAAAAATTCTGTTAAAAGTATAGAAAAATCATGGATTTTAAAAGATTACTGGCATCGAGTCAACTGGCGTTTCCTGCGCCTTACCCTAGAACAGATAGGTCTGGGTCCGCGGTTCATTAATAAAATCACGACCCTTTACTCTCACCCCATGGAGTCGGTTCTTGTAATGGTACGGCCTCTTCATCCTTTTCTACCTCTAATAGTACCAGACAGGGATGCCCTTTTTCTCCCTTACTTTTTGTTTTGGTTATGGAGCACCTTGCGCGGGCTATACGGGCTAACGATTCTATACTAGGCATTCATACCCCCTCCTCACATCATAAACGTTCGCTTTATGCAAATTGCCTCCTAATTTATATGCAACAGCCTCTCATCTCTCTCCCCAGCCTGCTTCAGGAGTTCCATAGATTTGGTTTCGTTTAGTAACTTTAAACTTAACATCTCGAAAACAGAGGAATTGAATATTTCTCTACCTGATTGCGTGCTGTCACACCTTTGCTCCAACTTTTCATTTCAATGGCGCCCAAAGGCTGTTTCGTGGTTCTGATCTCTTCTGATCTCACTGCACTCAACTCGCTTATTTGCCCCCTACTTACGCGTCTTCACAAAGACTTTGCATCGTGGGGAGCCTCCTCTCTGCTCTAGTTTGGATGCATTAATACCCCTAAGATGGACACTCTTTCAAAACTGCTATGTTTTCCAGACTGTCCCGGTCTCTGTGTCCAAGAGTTTCTTCCTCTCTTTGCGCTCTTTATCAATCAAGTTTATTTGGCATCAAAGGTTTCTCCAGATTGAAGTACAAACTGCTCACCTATCCGAAGCTGAGAGGTGGAGTGGGTTTACCTGATTTTGAATTGTATTATCAGGCAGCCTTGTTAGCTTGACTGGTTCCCCAGACCCTTTCATAAAGCCTCCTGCATGATAGAACAGGACCTATCTCAAACTGACCCATGGGCTCTCTTCCGGGGTTATGGTTGTGACCTTCAGCGTCTACCTGGCCTGTCTCCTTTGACTTTGGCAGCTCTGCGCTTGTGGTATAAACACGGTCTCCTTACCCTTCTATCCTCCGACCCTTCCATTTTATCTCCCCTATTTGATAATCCCTCCTTTCCCCAAGGGACTGGATCTTCTGTCCTGGGTCCCTTTCCCCGTACCTCATGGCCGGTAGCTCGGGGCTTTATCCTCCACTCTCAGACAGGTCTCCCAGGGTACAGCCTGCCCATACGTGGAAGAAAAATGATAAATGGTTTTCAAAATGTTTTACAAATAAATCGGTGTAAAGTGTGGCGGCATTTGTATTCAGTCCCCCGGAGTCAATACTTTGTAGAACCACCTTTCGCTGCAATTATAGCTGCCAGTCTTTTGGGGGATGTCTCTACCAGCTTTGCACATCTAGAGAGGGAACTTTTTGCCCATTCTTCTTTGCAGAATAGCTCAAGCTCTGTCAGATTGGATGGAGAGCATCTGTGAACAGCAATTTTCAAGTCTTACCACAGATTCTCAATTGGCTTTAGGTCTGGACTTTGGGCCATCCTAACACATGAATATGCTTTGATCTAAACCATTTTATTGTAGCTCTGGTTCTATGTTTAGGGTCGTTGTCCTCCTGGAAGGTGAATCTCCTCCCCGGTCTCAAGTCTTTTTATAGACTGTTACAAGATTTCTTATAAGATTTCCCAGTATTTGGCTCCATCCATCTTCCCATCAACTCTGACCAGCTTCCCTGCCCTGCTGAAGAAAAGCATCTCCACAACATGATGCTGCCACCACCATGTTTCACAGTGGGGATGGTGTATTCATGGTGATGTGCAGTGTTAGTTTTCCACCACACACAGCGTTTTGCTTTTAGGCCAAAAAAGTTTAATTTTGGTCTCATCTGACCAGAGCCCCTTCTTCCACATTTGCTGTGTCCCCCACATGGCTTCTCGCAAACTGTTAACATATGGCTTTTTTTCAACAATGGCTTTCTTCTTGCCACTCTTCCATAAAGGCCAGAATTGTGGAGTGCACGACTAATAGTTGTCCTGTGGACAGAGTCTCCCACCTGAGCTATGGATCTCTGCAGCTCCACCAGAGTCACTGTGGGCCTCTTGGCTGCTTCTCTTATGAATACTCCCCTTGCCTGGCCTGTCAGTTTAGGTGGACAGCCATGTCTAAGTAGGTTTGCATTAGTGCTATACTCTTTCCATTTTTGGATGAACAGTGCTCCGTGAAATGTTCAAAGCTCGGGATATTTTTTTATAACCTAACCCTGCTTTAAACTTCTCCACAACTTTATCCCTGACCTGTGTGGTGTGTTCCTTGGCCTTCAAGATGCTGTTTGTTCACTAATGTTCTCTAACAAACCTCTGAGGGCTTCACAGAACAGCTGTATTTATACTGAGATTAAATTACACACAGGTAGCCTCTATTTACTAATTAGGTGACTTCTGAAGGCAATTGGTTCCACTAGATTTTAGTTGGGGTAACAAAGTAAAGGAGGCTGAACACAAATGCACACCACACTTTACAGATATTTATTTGTAAAACTTTTGAAAACCATTTAGCATTTTCCCTCCACTTCACAATTATGTGCCATTTTGTGTTGGTCTATAACATAAAATCCCAATAAAATACATTTACATTTTTAGTTGTAACATGATAAAATGTGGAAAATTTCAAGGGGTAAGAATACTTTTTCAAGGCCCTGTAGATGGCGCCCCCTTGTGTTTCTATTACAGAAATCTCCCTGTCTCTTGCTGGAGCAGCCTTTCCTGCAGCAAATCCATATATTTTGATGGACTTTTATGGACTTTCATGATCCATTGCTTTTGGTGTTATGGTTTACTGTTTTTTTTACATTTTTATTTATTAATTTTTACCATCGCTCTGGGACTTTTCACTAGAGTCCTATCTTTGCGTCATATTCTTTTTTGTTTTTATAAACGGTTAGGTAGGGATGGGAGGGGTGGAGGAGCTGGACCAGCATAGACAGTAATTAGCCACAGAAAAGGAGAGGGCTTTGTGCTAGGGAATTGACTCTTCCTGGAGTAATACAATTTTCTAGCAGTTTCTAGGGCACATTGAAAGTGAATAAAAGAATTATGGAAAGGGAAAGTAATATTTGAAAATACATTTTCTGTGCTGTTACCAGCATTTTGTAAGTTGATGAAAGGGTCTCTTTAAAGTATAAAATATCACTGAAAAAAAGCATATTTATACCTTCATAAATGTTCACACACACAAACCATTACTGTATCTGCTGCTAAAGAATAGTGGGCTATATTACAATTGTGCAGGCGTTAGCTTGGAGAAGCATTAATTAAATAATTAGTCTTCATTAAATTAGAGGCTATAGGCTCAGACTGTGTTGCTTCTGTAATGTTAAAATACTTTAAATATTTTCCTGCAAAGCTTTACCCTGTCACAGCCTGTTTTTTTAGTTCACTATCTTCTCTTTCTGCTGCTCGCAGTGGGTTAAATTCACACTCACCTCCCAAAATCTGCCTCTTCCATCAGAGCTTGGCTGCGGTCTGCATTTTTTTTATTTAATATGATATAAATAGGTCTGTGTGTGGAGGTCTCGCTCACACTGCCAGGGCTGTGTGACCGCTATGGAACACCTCCGCATTTTTCTCCTGCTCGCCATTCTAGCTGTTGCGTGCCACAGCCTCAAGGCATGCCCCGCGAACTGTCACTGCCACGGGGGAGAACTGCAGCATGTTATCTGCTACAGCTCAGGGTTGGCTAAATTCCCAAAGTGTCAGAGCAAACTCGCCTGCTTAACCTGCAAAAGAATTCCTTCCCTGTGCTGTCTCCCAACTCTTTTAAAGAGATGAAAGGTTTGGTGTCCCTGCACATGCAGTACTGCGGGATCCGAGAAGTAGCTACGGGGGCTTTCCGAGGTCTTAAGAGGTTGGTGTATCTCTACCTGTCCAACAACGACATTAGTGTGATCGGCACAGGAGCTTTTGATGATTTGCCTGAGCTCACTTATCTCTACATGGACCACAACAAGATCATTGACATACCCAAGGGGCTGCTGTCCCCACTCGCCAACCTGTTCATTTTCCAGCTCAGCCACAACAAGGTGCGTGAGCTGAAAGCAGGGACCTTCACTGGCGCCAAGGATCTGCGCTGGCTCTACCTGTCAGATAATGAGCTCACCACGCTGCAGCAGGGGTCCTTGGATGAGGTGGAAAACCTGGCCATCTTCCACTTAGATGGAAACCAGTTGAGCACTTACCCACTGGCTGCCGTCAGCAAGCTGAGGGTGGTGGAAGATTTTAAGATCTCCCGAAACCCAATCAAAGTCATCCCTGATTTTGCATTCCAGTCATTTGGGCGATACATGGAATCCCTCTCCATGGAACAAATGGGTATCGAGAAGGTAAGAGGTCAACATAAAACAACATGGACTGAAAAACCGCCACAAATTTGCAACCGGACGTGTTCTGTAATGTTGAAGACATTTCGTAGCTTCAGTTCTGAAATGCTTAGGGCAAGCTACAAAACATCTTCAACATTATGGAACAACTCCAGTTGAATGAGACTAACTCCTACTAAATATATCATGAAAAGTATAAATAAGAACCTTCACAGACAAAGATTGCTTTACATTTCAAGTTTTGTTGGCAATGCAAAGGGTTTGTTCCTCAAGCATGCCTCTAAGGCTGGTTTAGCCAAATATACGACCCCCATTGCAGTTCAAAGAGGTATTAAGGAACACTGCTTATTGGTTCTGTGCCAATTACCCCACCAAAATTCGAGGTGACCATAGAGCTTGCCAAGGCAAGGGATAATGGTCATTCTAGGAAGGAAAATAAGGTCGCTACAAAGGTTTAAGAGTTTTTTGGATGATATGATATGAAATGATATGAAATTAGTGTTTTATGAGCTTTTTGTAATGTTATATTTTACATTATGGAAATGTGTATCGTTTTACTTGAAAAATAAATAAATATTTAAATAATAAAATAAAAAAAAGAGTTTTTTGGAGGCAGTAAGTGTCCATTTCAAGCACCAAAAACTTAACATCTGTCCATTCTCCATCTATTATCCCAAGGATAAAAACACTCCCCAGTGGGACATAGGGTATTTTTTAGCAAAATCAGTTTCTCATTACTAACATGTAACAGGTCAAAACTGATGTCTGTTTGATATCTGCATGGAGAAAGGACTGCTTTGACCAGTTATTAAGCAGTCAATAGTTATTGCTCCTCCAGGCTTTTAAAGGACATACATTATCCATACCACTGGCCATTTTTTCTATCATTTAATGCATTCTCAGCAAAACCACAAAATTAAATTAGCTGTTGAAGCTCAAAATATATCTAAAGCCAAATTTTTTTGGAAGGAGTAAAGAGTGGCTAAAGCCCCTGTCCTTTTTTGTGTCATCTGTGTCCCATTTAGAAGATTTCTGAGTACGATTTATAGAGACTTTGGAGAGGAAAGCTCTCCATGGTGAGGGACATGTCCTCTCATCCTACTGGAAGACTTACCTTCTTTCCCTGTTTTGGTGACGTCTAAACTCAAAATGCTTGCGTTTCCCTCCTCAGTCTCAGCTCTAAAGACATGTTGGGTTCATATATAGATTTTTAAATGCTTGTTTGAGATCTACATGTGTGCAGATGTTATACCAAAATCGTGCATTTTCATTGCAAGGACCAAAATCTATTCGTCATTAGCTTCCGTATTTTGAAAATGCGCCTTTTTTATATCTGAGTGTTGAAAGAGTTAATTTCCAGCTTCAAACTGCTGTTTCTCCTTCCTCCTGGATAGGAAAAGAGTGGCCAGTTTTCCCCCTTCAAGAACAGTCTGTTTATTGACACAATGTCTCACATGCACTGGCCTCCTCTGCTCCTCACAATGCAGTCCCTGTCTGGGGCTCAGAGGACTCGCGGGAGGGGCACCTGTGCTCTCTCGTTCCAAAATAGCAATGAGAAATTACGGATTAGCAAACAGAGACACTCTGAGTACAGGTCAGGAAAATTCAAAGGTATGATGGCTAACCTCTCAACTTTCCGAAACAGCAACTAAGGACATAATGTAAAGTCACGCAAAGGGCTGTACATAAACACAATAATCAGTGGTGGAACTAGTTGATATATTCCTTGACGTTGGGCAATGCAGTGATTAATTTCTAATTTTTCCAAGTCAGGAGACAATTGCATTATCCGGGTAGCATTTCTCAACCGTTTTTGGTCTCAACAACCTTTGAAAGTATGCAAAAACGTAAGACAAACCAGTCTAAAATGTAAAAACTATGAATGTTACTTATCAATAAGAAACCTGAGCCTGGGATGATGCAGACAACCACCATGATGGAAATTAACTTCACATCAGAAATTCCCCCTTACATCAGTTCCTTCTTTACATCAGAACTCCAAATTCACATTAGAAGCCCCCATCACATCAGAAGTCCCCATCATTTCAGAATCCCTCTATCACATCAGAGGCACCCCTATACATGAGAGCCTTCATCATGTTATCGTTGCCCCTAAACATGTGTCCCCCCCAACACCACAGAGCCCCCAATCACACAGTCTCCCCCATTACAGAGCCCCCAGTCCCACAGTCCCCACATCACAAAGCCTCCAATCACATGGTCCTCTCTTCACATCAGAGCCCTGCTTTTTTACTCCAGCAGTGCAGTAGAGCTTGGAAGGTGGAGGAGGTGGACTTCCATCTTCTCCTGAATGCTGGGGGCAGCCCTGCATGCTACCTTCCCTACATCAGAGTCTTGAGTTGCTATGTTGCAGGAGATGGTTGCCATCATTATAGCAGTGAATAATGCTATGCATCCTGGCCCTAGAGCATCATTGGTTGTTATGGTGCTGGAGGCCGGCCCGTCCTCACCATGGCAACTCATGAAGCAGACCCAAGGCAAATTAGGCTCCATGCTCGCGGCACACTGGGGAAACCCAGACAGTACCTTGGATGAGAAACATTGATTCAGGGTTTAGATGTGTGCAGACACCCAGCAGGCCAATATCAGGAGAAAAGTTTGATTTTCCCAAACGACCAACATTATTTCCACAAGACTTGCTTGGGTTCCTCGCTTACTAAGATATTGTACAAGTTCAGGAACAGGTGTTTCTATTGAAGAATTTACAATCACCTTCTGTAAAATGTTGGATTTCTGAAACTGGCAGTAAGTACAGTGAAAGATGATATTTAAAGTACACGTTCACGTAAAGTACATTCTAGTCCCACAGTATAAGATGCCTCACGAAAAAATTGTCATGTGATGGCATTGCAAAGATTTGAACCCTGTTTTAGATCAGCGATCTCCAACCAGTGGTTTGTGACACATACTGTATGTGGCTTTTAGCCATTTCAGGTGTTGCTTGTAAGAGTCTCTTGGAAGCCTTGGAAACACCAGTCTTGTTTAAACATCTGTCTGAAGAACCACTCAAGACCTACCTAGAATGACTGTATTGAACTGACCAATATTAAAGTTTTGGCAAATGGCCTTGATAGGGCCATGCGGTGCCGGGACAGGGTTGTCCAGCGTCGAGGGCTAAATGTGGAGCTGTGCCCTCCTCTCCTGCTCCAATGCATGTTGTAGATGGGTGTACCACCTTGCCTACTCTGGTATGCCCATAGTTGACATGGAGGGTGCACTGTGCATGCCTAGTCATTCACTTGTTTTTTAGCAGCTGGGGGTGGGTGGGCAGTTTCTCATGCAATGTGTGTTTTTCATATTGGCTGTGGGCAGTTGGGGTGCGGGAGGCAGATAGTGGGCATGATGGATAGTGTCGTGCAAACAGTAGCTGTTAAAGCAGATGAGTATTCTGCTTATACACACATGTAAATCTATAAAATGTAATCTATTAGAAACATTTTAAAATAACATAGGAAGAAATACAGTCTGCTCGAATTGCGTTGGAAAAGAAGAGAACTGTACCCAACATGCTCTGATCATTATCATGGCCTGATACATTTTATATTCTTATCTATGTTACTTGAACATGTTTCAAATAAATTACATTTTATAGATTTACATGTGTGCATTAGCAGAATGCTGAAAAAGTGCCATCTAAACATTGTAGAGTATATTTAAAGATTCAGGGGTTTTGGCATTCATAACTGAGGTGTGACCATTTGGCTACTGTTTTTGGTAAAGCAGACTGAAAGTCGTGGCCCGGTATAGAGAAGGCCACAGTTCACTAGTTACGCACCACCAATCTGGAGCATGCACCGAGTAGTGCCCCCTCTCCCTGTTGGGTGCTGCAACCTGGGTGGCTGCTCCATCTGGGTTGGTCTGGGTAGGCATATCCATGGAGAGACAGACCTCTACAGGCACTGACTGCCATTAGGTATCGGGATGAAATCCTTGGACCCATTGTCAGACCCTACACTGGTGCAGTGGGTCCTGGGTTCCTCCTGGTGCACAAAAATGCCCGGCCTCATGTGTGGCGAGAGTATGCAGGCAGTTCCTGGAGGATGAAGGAATTGATACCATTGAATGGCCCACACGCTCGCCTGACCTAACTCCAATAGAACACCTCTGGGATATCATGTATTGGTCCATTCGATGCCGCCAGGTAACACCTTAGACTGTCCAGGAGCTCAGTGATACCCTGGCCAGATCTGGGAGGAAATACCCCAGGACACCATCCTTCATCTCGTTAGGAGCCTCCCCCGACATTGTCAGGCATGCATACAAGCACGTGGGGGCCATACAAACTACTGAATACCATTCTGAGTTGCTGCAAAGAAATTTCAGCAAAATGGACTAGCCTGCTGCATCATTTTTTCACTTTGATTTTCGGGGTGTCTTTGAATTCAGTCCTCTGTAGGTTGATAATTTTCATTTCCATCAAACGATGGGGCATCCTTATGTTCCTAACACATTACCCAGTCCATGTCAGTATAGATATCCAGCAGGAGATTTTTCTGCATTGAGATCTGATGTGTTTTCAAACTGTTACTTTAATTTTTTTGAGCAGTGTATGTAGTGCAATGGCTGAAATAATCTAGTCAATTTTCATCCAATTAATTAGGCCTTTCAACTACTCAGATGTTGGTAAATCTAAAGGAGAGTTTACTTTCATGTAGTATGATCAGCCAATATTTAGTATGGTTCATTGAACTACTGTAATCTGTATAATGATCATTGAATAAATATGCTCAATCGTTTTGGTCAAGTGTGCACCTTCATGCACTAAACGGGCACCCGGACCTTCATACAAAAGGAAACTTCCCTTTTGGTCGAGCTGCCCTTTAAATCTGCACTTCGCTCCCCCTCCCAGGTTTGGCAACCACTTACCTAATGCTATGTTGTGCAGTCCAGCTTGACCTACTCACTGCTATGGCTAGTAAACATTCATGGTGGCCCCCAGCCATCTAGAATAGTACAACCCTGAATATAATAATGCTCCTACTTACTTCCAGCATTACTGGAGTGGAAACCAATTGTTTTTCACATCCTAGCAACAAATGAGGACATGGCGTGCTAATTGAGAATTTATAACTGTATGGCCCAAATGGCCTACAGTTATTTATTTCAGGTACTTATATAGTGCTGTCAATTTACACAGTGCTTTACACTTATATATTGAACATTCACATCAGTCCCTAACCCTCAAGGGGTGTGCAATCGTCCCTAACTTACATTCATGCATACACATATTATGGCCAATTTAGACAGGATCCAATTAACCTACCAGTAGGTCTTTGGAGTGTGGGAGGAAACCAGGCTACCTGGAGGAAACCCATGCAAGCACAGGGAGAACATGCAAACTCCATGCAGGAGGCACCATGGTCAGGGATCAAACCCATGATCCATTTACTGCAAGGCAGACGTGCTAACCACCAAGCCACTGTGCCACCCATGTTATGACAATAAAATTTGAGAACATTTTACAAATTTCCTGTATCTTTACTACCAACAGAAGCTCTTTGACTGCATAGTTTATTTTCTGGAAAAGGTGAACTTAGCCTTTAAATGAGCATCAGCTTTTATTTGAGAAAATCCATTTAAGATGATCCACCTTTCACCTAATCTTCTGGTGGCTGGACTGGACGTTGTTCCTCTCATGCCTAAAGGCAGCCTAAGCTTGGCTGAAGCATCTCAGTAGGATCCCAGATGGAAATTTCCAATGACATTCTTTAACCAGCTGAAGAATGTGGGGAGCACACGGAGTGGGTGAGGAATCTGGAGAGGGGGATGTAGACGTGTGTAATGAGCGGGGAAGAGGTGGAGTGTTTGTTCCTCCAGCAGTGGCCAAACCTTCACATTTTTCGCTTTAGTTTTCAGAAAAAGCTTTTGTTGGAGTCACGGCCCTGAAGAGTCTGAACGTTGAAGGAAATAAGCTAAGCCAGCTTCCTGCCAATGCCCCATTTTCCTCCCTGCAGAACCTGACACTAGCAAACAACCCTTGGCACTGCTCCTGCCAGCTGGCAGCTCTCAGAAGGTACATGAAAAAATCATACAGAGATGAAAATATCTCCCGTAACATGCCACCTCCCAATCCTAACTATGCCTCTTCCAATTTAGGTGGATTGACGGTAGCCGCTCTCGCCCAGATGCCACTTGTGCGAGCCCAGCTCAATACCGCGGGCAACAGCTACGAGACACAGGAGCCTTCCGTGGGTGTAAACAGCCGGTAAAGAAATCAAAAAAAGGAGAAAGACATTAAACAGGTAATACAGGCCAGTATAGGTATACTTGAACAAAAAAAACAAGGCTGGATGGGACTTTTTAAGCATTTTACATATGTATTAATATAAAACAAAGTCTATTGGAACAGTATAGGTATCTCAAAACATTAACGATAAAGGGGTCTCTTTACAGAACATTTGCTGTGCAAATATCAGAAGCATTTGTGAAAACTGAACAAAATGTCGCTGTAATTTTTCTAAGAGATTAATTCCTGTATCATCGGCTCCAACTAGTGGTCAAATGCAGTACTGTTTTCTCATGAAGATTTTTCAGAAAACTATACTGCATGTTGGCCACTAGGTGGAGCTGACAATACAAGTATTAATTTTAGAGAAAATATTGGGACATTTTGTTCAGCTTGCATGAATGCTTCCGACATTTGTGCAACAAATGCTTTATAAAGACACCCCAAAATGTATATAAATCCTAAGAATGAACATGTCTTATATGTTATTCATACCATGAAAGTGGTAGTAAAGTTGTTTTTTTTCACTTGTACCTACAGGTAAGCCTATAATAAGGCATACCTCTAGGCAGGAGTGGACTGACAACTCATGGGGCCCCTGGGCAATAGGGGATCATGGGGCCCCTGTGTCCTTGCCCAAACTCAAAAAAGCCTATGAAAAAGGTACCAGGGGCATCTCATGGGGCCCCCTACTGACCCCGGGCCCTTGGGCAGTGCTCGAGTTTCCAAATGGTCAGTCCGCCCCTGCCTGTAGGTACTGTAAATATCTCCTAAACCTGCACTGTGTAGGAGACATTTTCTTGTAAAGGAGCACCAGCGCATGCGCTCTGTGCGGTTCCTTCAGAGCTGTGTGCCTTAAAAAGTGACTCAAGAGCGCATGCTCGGGAGTGACGTCATTGAGGCTTTGCCATTCAAGTCTCTGGAGCCCACGAACCCGGAAGAGAGACCAGGTGAAGATGGAAGCCCTGTCAGTGGTGGAGGACTTCGTTTTAAGGTGAGTTTCACATAATGTACTAGTATGGGATGCATACTAGCACGTTATGCTATTGTCCTGCAGAATTGTTTTTTTTTAAAGGTTGCGGTTTACTACAGCTTTAGCACCACAAAAACCTACTGATCCTGCCAGAAATCTAGTAAGCTCTTCGTTTTTTGTTGAAGTCTTATCAATTATACGGCGTTGTGCCTGCAGCATGTGTACACCCCCGTATGCACCTGTCAACTGCAATTAAAGGGGGTAGTAATTGGAGAGTGGTAAAAACATGGCTCAGCCATGGAGTATTGTGAGTATATGACCTGCGCAAAGGACTGAACAATTAGACTGGCTGCTGATAGCAAAATCACAAATGTGTACCGGTGAACAAACACGTGAGTGTAAACATAAAAATTTCTGCGCTGCCTCTCCCAAAAAAATGACTAAAATAAATACAGTGAAGGAAATAAGTATTTGATCCCCTGCTGATTTTGAATGTTTGCCCACTCACAAAGAAATGATCGGTCTAAAAATCGAATGTTCGGTGTATTGTAACACTGAGAGACAGAATAGCAACAAACAATTCAAAAGAAATGCATGTCTAACAAATGATGACTGATCTGCATGTTCATGAGGGAAATAAGTATTTGATCCCCTATCATTCAGCAAGATTTCTGGCTACCAGGTGTCTTTCATACAGGTAACAAGCTGAGATTAGAAGCAGTCTCTTAAAGGGAGTGCTGCTAATCTAATTTTGTTACCTGTATAAAAGACACCTGTCCACATGAGCAATCAAACAATCAGATTCCAAACTCTCCACCATGGAAAAGACCAAAGAGCTGTCCAAGGATGTCAGGGACAAGATTGTAGACCTACACAAGGCTGGACTGGGCTACCAAACTATCACCAAGCAGCTTGGTGAGAAGGTGACAACAGTTGGTGCAATCAATCATGGTGCAAATGGAAGAAACACAAAACAAGTGTCAGTCTCCCTAGGTCTGGTGCACCATGCAAGATCTCACCTCGTGGAGTGTCAATGATCATGAGAACAGTGAGGAATCATCCCAGAACTACATGTGAGGATCTTGTCAATGATCTCCAGGCAGCTGGGACCACAGTCACCAAGGAAACAATTGGTAACACACTACGCCGACAAGGACTGAAATCCTGCAGTGCACGCAAGGACCCTCTGCTCAAGAAAGCACATGTCCAGGCCCGTCTGAAGTTTGCCACTGAACATCTGAATGATGCAGAGGAGGACTGGTTGGAAGTGTTGTGGTCAGATGAGACCAAAATCGAGCTCTTTGGCATCAACTCAACTCGCCGTGTTTGGAGGAGGAGGAGGAGGAATTCTGCCTATGACCCCAAGAACACCATCCCAACTGTCAAACATGGTGGTGGAAACATTCTGCTTTGGGGGTGTTTTTCTGCTAAGTGGGCAGGACAACGGCAATGCATCAAAGGGACGATGGACGGGGCAATGTACCGTCAAATCTTGGGTGAGAACCTTCTTCTTTCCAAGAAGTTGAAAGTTCCAAAAAAAACCATCCGTATCCGGAGTGAATATTAAGTGATACAGTAGTAAATCTTCTTATCTATAACAATTCTCTGTCCGTAGTGCTCCAATTAATGCTCCCCCTCCAGAGCACTCACCACAGATAACTGAGCACCTGGAATGGTAGGTCAAATATCACAGAAGATGTTGCAGCGCTCTCCTGCAGGACAGATGGCCGTCTGTGTGGTCTTAACACCTCTTGTCAAGGATCCGGGTATGACCAGAGATGTGTGGACCGACACAGGGAAACGCAGACTTCAGGTATAGTATAAAACAATACAATTTATTAAAGGCTAACATAAACACAGTGTAAACAAACCAAACCTCCAACAGATAATAATATGTACAACACCAAACGTAGTCAGGTGGGCCGGGTCGGTAGCAAACGGGCAGACAAGGTACAAGGAGCAGGCGGAAGAGTGGTCAGGAATAGCCGAGGTCGGTACAGGCAGAGTTCATGCAGAGTCAGGATCAGGCAGGAAGCAGACAGGATGCAGGTACAGGGGCTCATGGGAACAATACACCAAGGCACTGACTGCAGGCCTGGCCATTCCTTAAATACACCTCCTGCAATCAGCCTCAGGTGATGGCTTGATTGCAGGAGTGAGCTTCTGGCTGCTGAGAGCACCCGCTGGCCAGCCCTGGTACTGCAGCCCACACGGCAGGTGAGTCCCACTACCAGTGGTGAATCCATTCCTGACACCTCTATATGCTGATGACAGACTCCATAGTGGAAACACCTCTAGATTATCGTTTGCAAGAAAACTCCTCCAGAACATCCACAGCTCCTGATGAGATCAGATGCCAAAACGTGTAGGACGGGGCTTGACAGAAATTGCTTTTTTGCTGGGATTTAAAGTGCCATACACATGGTTTTATGTAAGTGCAATTTTAATGTTTTTTACCTAATAAATACTGTGTTACGTTATGGAAGTTTTCCTTTGATGTTTTTACGGTGGTGGAGGAGTACTGTGGATGTTCTGGAGGAGTTTTGTCGCAAACGATAATCTAGAGGTGTTTCCACTATGGAGTCTGTCATCAACGTATAGAGGTGTCAAGACCACACAGACGGCCAACTTTCCTGCAGGAGAGCGCTGCAACATCTCATGCGATATTTGCCCTACCATTCCAGGTGGTCAGTTATCTGTGGTGAGTGGGGCTATGGAGGGGGAGCACTAATTGGAGCACTACGGACAGAGAATTGCTATGGATAAGAAGATTTACTACTGTATCACTTAATATTCATACCTTATTCGGATGGTTTTTTTTTGGAAATTTCAACTTCTTGGAATTTTTATATGTTTGAACAATATTGGGACATATATATATCTATATATATACAGATATATATACATATATATATTGTTTTATACAAATTTCACTGTATACACAGTTTTATGGCATTGTATATGTAATTTGTTTAGCACCATTAACGTTTAAGCACCTTGTTTTACATATTGGTTCATCTAGGACTTAGTCACTGGGGAGGAGGGATACAATCGCCAGCCCGCGGGGCATTATAGTACATGCACATTTGTGGGGCCTTTTTGTGTAGCAGAGAGTTCATTATTTATTTATTTTTGGGAGAGGCAGCTCAGCAATTTTTATTTTTACAGCCGTGGAGTTTGACCGTCCCCTCAACCGCTAGTATGAAGGAGCCCTAAGAAACAAACCAAAGCAGGTTCAACAAACTAAAACTCCACTTTCTTTTAGAAACGCACCATTTGCCCACTGCGTTGTTACACTTTTTTTTTCTCTACAGGCTCCAAATGGACAGTCGGGGGAACTGTGACCCGGGTGACCAGTAAACTACTGACACGTAGGACCTTCAAGATGCTCTTCCAATAATGATGGAGCCACCTTGTATCTCTACAGCTGCCATTTTGCATTTACCAAAGCCATTCCACCATGTATGCATGTAAACTATGTGACCAACTAACAGCCATTGCACTCCTAATCATGTGACCAACTAGGTATGTACATATAAATGTATATATGATATAAAAAATATATAGAAATAAATACATACACAGTAATGACAACTAAAACCATTTTCAATAAATGTCCACGGTCTCATAACAGCTTGATTCATGTCAGACAAATAAATCAATTGAAAAAAAAAAAATAGCGAGTCCGTTAAAGTGACCGATGTTTACCGTGTAAAAATAATAGGAAAACCATGAAAGACAAAAATGATGGTCAATAAATAAAAGGTCAGTCCAGCCAAAAGTGACATTGTAGTCTCCAGTCCCGCCTGTACCCCTCGATCATTACAAAAAACTTTCACTGCAGATGGACCAGAGCTAAGGTTGCTACAAGGACCACTCACTAGTCCTGAGACATATTGAACCCTCAAGATACAATCAGCCCTCAGAGGTCCACTATAGCTGAAACAGCAGTTTCGGGTGGTCTGGCCCTTTAAGACCATCAATTAAAAAAACATTAATTGGAAAACTGTAATAAAGGGACATTTACAACTAACATAGCGCTTGGACTAATTTATGTCCACAGCAGCATATAAAAAGGTGGTGGGATTTTCTCATGAATTAAAGTGGAAATGCTAGACATGTGCAGAACAAAAACATTTGTTTCCGTTCGGATTGATTCGCTAAGTTACTCATTTTGCTGCATTCGTAACAAAATTTGCTTCGTTTAGTTTCATTTATGCGTTTTCGGTTCAAATTTTTCTAATGGATTCGAAGCATTCATATTGATTTTAACCACTTGCCCTCTGGAGCATTTACACCCTTCCCGAGCAGTCCATTTTTTGTGATACGGCGCTTCGCTACTTTAACTGACAATTGCGCGGTCATGCAATGCTGTACATAAATTACCAATCTTTTCCCCACAAATAGAGCTTTCTTTCAGTGGTATTTGATCACCTGTGTGGTTTTTATTTTTTGCGCTATAAACAAAAAGAGACCGACAATTTTGAAAAAAAAAACAACTATTTTTGACTTTTTTGCTATTAAACACATCCAATAAAAAAATTGAAAAAATCAAAATTCGTCATAAATTTAGGTCAAAGTGTAATCTGCTAAAAAAAAATTCTAATACATGTAAATTAATTGGTTTATGTGAAAGTTATAGCATCTACAAATGGCGGTATGTATATTGGATTTTTTTTTTTTCATACTAGTAATGGTGGTGATCAGCGACTTATTGCGGGACTGTGGGACTACGGCGGGCATTCTGACTAATTGCCACTGACATCCCCAGTGACACCAATACAGTGATCAGTGCTAATAAAAAGCACTGACACTGTACTAATGACACTGGGCAGGAAGGGGTTAAAATCTGGGACGATCCAAGGGTTAACTGTGTGCTGTTTTTTTATATAATGTGCTGTGTGTGTTTTACTAGGGAGACAGAGAAATACACAGCAGCATGTCCTTACTCGCACGAGTGCCATTTGGATGTCAGTGGCAGTTAGTCAGTTCCCACCCAAAATGCCCACCCCAGTCCTGCTATAAGTTGCTGACCGCTGCCATTACTAGTATCCCCCCCCCTTTACCCCCCATCCACAGTCCAAATTCTTTCCAAGAACTCCTATATTTTTCCATCTATGTCAACACCCCAATTCTTCTGCCACCTCTCTCTCTTTCCTTTCTATGGTACCCCATAACTAGTCGGTAAATCTATAGACACTTTAAACTTTGAAACTCTCCAAAATCTACTACTTTAACCCCTTCACGCCTAAAGGTAAAACAAATCTAAATGCCTAAGCACAATTCTGCAATGTTGACATGTGTTAGTAAAACCGCACATATCATCACAACTACTTTGTACATCCAGGTGGATTATACCGTGTTTTTTTAGGACAAATTGGGCTTTCATTTGGTGGTAAATGGTAATGGATATCTCCTGATTTCTTTTTATTATCAAAAGGAAAACTGGCCCAAAATAGTAAAAAAAAATGTTTTTTTTATTTAGCTGTGTGTTTCTTGTTACTACCATAACCTACCACCAAAGAACAACCCAAAATAAAATTTCCAGCTCTTGACGATTGCAGCGATACCACATATGTGTATGTTATTGTACCCGTAGTACAGCCCAGAAACAATAGTGCTCATTTTGGGTTTTTTTTACCTAACGCACACTGACACTAACTGACACTGATACCAATTTAAAAAAAAAATCCTGACCTTTTAACCTTGACCTTTGACCCTGACCCAAACACTTACCGTGGCACTGAACTAGATCAAACCTTGATCTAGGTATTTTTTCTTTATTTTTTAATATTTACAGTATATATATATATATATATATATATTTTATTTAACAAACATTTTTTTTTCTCTATGCCTGGAGTTAAGAGAGATACAATGTATCTCTCTCCTCCATTCATAGAGAAAAAAAAACAAGGGGGACAGGCTACACAGTGACTGATCACTGTGATAGCCATTCAGAGGCTATCACAGCAATCATGTGACCCAGAATCGGGAGTCCCGGGTCACGATCGTTAGAATGGGACCCGGGGCTCTCAGTGACACCCTGGTCTTTGTGGTGGGAGTGCGCTGTGCGGCACGTTCCCACCACAAAGACAGGTACGCAAATATACGACCCCACGGAAAAAAGCCCAGTTCTGTCGGGCAGCATATTTGTGTGACATCGGCACAAAGGGGTTAAACTTCTACCACTTCCCTATATCTTTTAGATAATTAAAAGTTGTGCCAACTACTCTACACTTCTCTATATGTTTCCATTTTATCCTTTTTCATATGATATAACTCTATCCTGTTTATGTATTCCACTCTCTTAATCCAATATTTTATTTTTGGGGGCTCCTGAGATAACCAGAATTTAGGAATAAGACTTGTTTTTATATTGTTTCACCCACGGGTCCCTCTGTACAATCGTCCCCGACATCTCCTGTATATAATGAATTATTTCCTGCCAGAACATCTGAATTTTAGGGCATCCCCACCATATATGTGCCATTGTTCTCTTATTCCCACACCCTCTCCAACATAATGGTGAAACATCAGCTCGCTGTTTATGCGCCACACTCAGGGTGATATACCATCTTGCTAAGCACTTGTAATTCATTTCAACTGTGTTCATATTTATCACCTCGTGTGTTAATTTAAATATCTTATTTTTTTGTAGCTCATTCAATTTTTGTTCCCAGCTCCTTTTCCCATTTCTCTTTAACTTTAAATTTCTTATAGTATATCCATCAGGGCCTGGGCTCTTTCCTGCAGCCATACTCTTCAATGTCAAAATGATTTCCTCCTGAGAGATAGCTCTCTCTAGTGTCTCGAACTTTTCTTCTGAGATTCTTGGTAGGCGTACTTCCTCTAAATATTTCTGCTTTTTTTCCTTCCTTTCGTCCTGTTTCTTTCTGGTCCCCAAGAAACAGCCTACTATAATATTTTTGAAACGTATTAGCGATATCAGTGGTGGTATACATCATTTCTCCTTTTTCATCTTTAATTTTTTCAATATAATTTTTTTATTTCTTTTCCTTTAATCATTTCATTAGATGTTTCCCTGGTTGATTCCTCCACTGGTATCGATCTTTTGAGACCCTGTTAAAAATCTTCCTTGTTTCCAATTCCATAAGATCCTTTACTTCTATCTCTTTTAAGTTTTATCTTCTGGTGTATTTCTGCATTCACTGTCTTTTTATGTAATTAGGTGTTCTTGCACGGCAAGACCACTTCCTGTTATCTCACATATATATTCTTATTATTATAGCCAAATTTACCACCCTAACTCCTCCCACAGTTTTTACACTACATAGACAGTAATATACCGAAACGTGCGGATTGTTCCCGATTGGTGTGCTATTACTTTGTGGAACGTTTCGCCGTATGGTTCACGAAATATCGGCGTTTTTGTGGTGAAATTGGTCCCATAGGAATGAATGGCGGAATGTTCAAAACTAGAGTG